AATAACTAATATGGCAGCTGCAATTGGAACTCAGCGGCCTGGCTAGTGAGTGCTGCTCGACCTGCAAACGTTTCACCCACCTGAGGATTTTTGAAAAAACCAACTTTCATTTGATCTTCATTTTTGCCCGAAATTCCATCCACAACCAAATACTGTAAAGAACAACAGAATTTTGATTGATCACTCAAACGTCTTGCAAGAGCTTCAGTGGTTGAAATTGCCACAGTAAACAAATGGTCCACATCCTTGGAGCCACTGCATACAACTCAAAACTCTTTCAATGTAGTACAGAAGCATGAAAACACATCTATTACTTGTTTTACTTAGAGCATCATCTTTTACCGAAAATTAATTGAAACCTAAAATCACAAGCCTAACAATGTACAGAAGGTGCGGCTTCGGTGATGTTCAAACAGACGCCATCCATGGATGCCCTCGCACAAATGCTGCTCTCCTAGAGCGACCTCTTCAACAACAACAATCTGGTTGCTATAAATCAACACACAACGTCACGAAACGATTTCATTTCCAACCGTTCTTCGCTAGAGTGACTTTCAGGATTATGCACCAGACAATTAATTCACATCGTCGATAGAAGAACAGAATATTTTAGATCTAGAAACATGATGTAACCTCATTGCCAGCATCACGAGAATTTGGATATAGGTGGTTCCACCTGCTCTATATATCGGCGAAAACATCTTTGCATCGTCACCAAGCAAACAGCTGCGAGTCAATCAAAAACCCTATCTAAGTTATGTTATCATTGATACACAATTCTAAATCCTGCAACGAAGGTACCACAAGCCTATTACGAGAATGTGTGAAATGATGCGAATTCGGGGTTCATGAGAAGTCTTTTGAAGAGGAAAAGAACAATTCAGCGACGGCATCGCTTGAGCCTCTTGCGCTCAAAGCTTCGGAATGCAAGAACATTTTGCATGGATGAGAAGATCTATAGATATTCTTACATAAACACATATATGTGGGTGATGCTGCGGTGGGTACACCGACACACCGATAATGGCGACGGCCAGGAATGCTGGAAATGGCACAAAGCATATGACGCTTTTAGTTTCTGGTTACAATGCAACAAAAGACATTGAAAGCCATTAAATCAAGGACATGAGATTTTATTTTTATTTATTTTTGTTCTGTTATTTACATGTGAAGGATATACCACTGCAATGGTTAATGTTTTGGAGCACATGTAGTATTCTAAATTCTAAAATTTCATGATAAAAAATATCTCCCAATAATATTCATATTTGTAGAATTGCTTGTTAAGCCCTCCACCTTCAAGAATGTATTACAAGTTTGTTCACAAGTACTGTTGCGTAGTTCCATATTAGGCATATTTGTGAACACTTTAACAATATATGTAAATCAATTTAAGCATTGAAGGTAAACACATAACAATTGACAAATTACTTGGATGTACTTTTGTCAATAATTTATTTGCAAAACTATAATGCCACATCTTTTAATTTAATATTGTTTCTTTTTTAGCACATTACATCATCTATATTTTCTACCATTTTAAGATGTAGTTATGATCTAATGTATCTATCTATTTACATAAAATTATGTTATTTTTTTCTAAATTAAAGTAGATTTGATTTTATTAAATACAACATTATTTGATATCCTAAAAATAAATCATATAAATTAGAATTATATTGAAGTCTATTAGTTGGTCTACAAAAGATTTTAAGATTCATTAATGATAATAATTATTATTTTATTTTATTTTATCAATACCAACAAGTAGTATTTCTTATTCTTTTCACAATTCCCACCATTAAAAATTACAAACACTAGATGTTATTTATTCTTAAGAATTGATATGTTGACCATGGTTATTATTGAATTGACCGGATTATAGTGTGATCATAGTGTGATCATAGTGTGATCATAGTATTGTTATTATTGTTATTGTCTTCTTCTTCTTTCCTTTGTTCCTTCCTTCCTTTAAGATAAATAAACAAACAAGCACTATGACAAAGATTTTATATGGAAGAATTATTATCATCTATTTGTTTGTTTGGATGTTAGATGTGTGCAATTTGGTATGAGAAGGGAGGAGGGGGGGGGGGAGATTTGAGGGCATCGACTAATATGGAGTAGATGTAGCAATTACTATTCTTGCACATTTGGCAATAGAAATTACCACATTTGCTCACAATATGCTACTATTGAGATGCAACGGGTTGAGATAGCCGAGCTAAGATAGAACAAGGCTAAAAGCAACAAAGGGAGGCAAAAGAAGATGAATCACTGGCTCACTCTTCTTTAAGTACTTCATCTAGCCTTTCCAACTCTCTTTCCATGTTCAACTTCTTCAATGCTCTCATTCCTTGCATTGCCTTGTCTTATCCAATGCAACTTAATAATAATCAAGTTTGATTTTTTTAAAAAAATTGCTTAATTTATTAGAAAAACCTCAGTCAATATATCAATTTCTTTTAATGTCTAGTTATATATTAAATTTATTTGGTCTTTTTCTTAATTTAAAATTTTGGATTGATAACTTATTTAATAAACATTAATAATATTTGATATTAGTAATATAAGTAATATATATATATATGTATATATATAAACTTAAAAACTAATTATAAATTATAAATATGTTTAATTTCATATATGTATATATATATATATATATATATATATATGTATATATATTGGTGCCCTTTTAAAAATCAATAGATACATAGAATAATTCTTTTATAAATATAAAAATAATCTATTCTTAAAATTTTAATAGCTTATTTTCAAATGATTAAGCAATTATCATTGATTTCTTTTTCAACTAATATAATTTTTTTCAGTAGCAAAAGCTATCATAACTGTGTTAAAAGCCTTTTTATTAATTTACTTAAATTTTGTTACTTTTTCAAATACAAAAACTATATATATATATATATATCTAAAAATTAATATTTCTCCACAAAGAGTTTTTTTTAGACATCTATATTCATTGAAATTTAACATTTTCACTATTTTTTTTTTGTGTCCTTTATATTTTTGATTGTTATTTTGAACATTGGATAAACTTGTAATCTATTGTAAGAGTAAAAAAAATTAGGCTATCATTTATTTTTAGTAAATTTAGGAAATTGCTAGATAGATATTTTTCCATGCTACACTAATAATACACCAGTACTACAAGTTTTTAAACAAATTGGACACAAATGATACTAAAAGGTATAAAACATAAATATATAAATAAACAACAACAAAAACAATAACAACAATCCAAAACATATGAAAATCGGTTATACAAAAGCTTAGCAAAGCAAATAAATAAAGAAGGGTATCCATCTATTTGTTTCGTTAGGTGGACATCTCTCTTTTGATGTTTTTTTTTTTTTTTTTTTTTTTTTTTTGCTTTTATTAACTTCTATGTTACTAATATTCTTGTATTGGAGGTTATTATTATTATTATTATTATTATTATTACTACTACTACTACTACTGCTACTATAGTTGTTGTTGTTATTGTTGTTGTTATATATATATATATATATATATATGTTTTGATTTTTTTTTTTTTTATGGGTTTTAGCCTCATTAGTGTCCAACTTATTGAAGAACTTGTACCAATGTTTGTTGTTGTTGTTGTGACACTAAGAGGGGGATGTCCATGCAATAAAAGAGGGGTATGTACATATTAAAAAGAAGATATCCACCCAATAGTTCCTTAAATTTATAAGGAAATTTTTTTGGCTAAAAATATCTTTGATGCTGGATTCACATGGTTGCAAGGTTTTAATGATCCATTTGGACTTGAGTGCTGCCTTTACTTCTCCAAGGTTAATTGTATATAAACTTCTTTCTAACCTTTTATGTGCATTATGTTTTTTATGCTACTTTTGGTTTAATTAAAAATAATATAATATCACATTAAAAAATTAAAGGTTTTAAACCCAATCATAAAAATGCTTTTAAGAAATTTAATCTATATGAATATAAAAAAAATTAAGTTAATAAAAGAAAATTGTTGACTATTGTAGTATGCCTAGCTGTATTAATAAGAATATGGTAGGGCACATTCTAATGAAATTTTTATATGTCATAAAGATATTATTATTACATTACTCTTTAAAAAAAAAATCAATTTAGGTTAGTTCATAGAAGAATCTTTAAAAAAAATTCAAAACTTAAAAACTCATTAAATTATGTACATAACTCATTAAATTATAAATTATGTACATAGTTTAATGGTCGTGAATGTAATTTAATTTGTGCCAGCTAACTTTGATACGAATTTTTATCTTTGGAAAGTATTAGTTTTATGGATAAGAGTTTTTAAATATATATATATTTATTTATTTGAATACCATTCAATAGTTTTAATTTAATAGAAGGAAACATAAAAAAAAATATATAGTTAAATTTGATGATGGTTTGGGCTTAATTACTGTATGTAATATATATCTGCTTGTTGAATAGCTTTGATGGTTAAAGCAAGTAGCCATATTATATTTGCAAAAAATAACTAAAAGTAATAATTGAAAAAAATAATTGAATTGTTTATAGGAAACATATTCTATTACACAGACATTTTAAAAATGGTCAAATACACATTTAAAGATCCAATGACACCTAAATCATATAACTGAATCATTCAAATATTATTGAAAAATAAATAAACAGTTACATGAGAAGTATTTGAGTTTCTTATTTTAAAAATCCCAATTCATTCAAAAGAAATTCGGTTGCTTGGATGTCAGACACCAATTCGGAAGCGTGAAGTAGAGGAAACCCAAGGCCTGGATTGGTGTTATCACCAATTAAATACCAGCATTAACATCTGTACACAGTTACTTACATTCACGGCCACAAAGTCAACCGAAATCTGTATACCACGCCATGGTGTACAATTATTATGCGATACGCCCGGATATTATTGCCGAGATTGATACTCGTGATTAAAGTTGATACCCTTTAGAAGCCAGTCGTCATGTCCTGCATGTAGCCACCAGTAACTCGAAGGCCGCAGTTCGTGCACGACTCGCAGCAAAAAACCTGCTGAGCTCCAAGGGCGCAACCATAGCCTAGAGACAAGTTTGAATTCGCAGTCACGGGGCTTTCGCAACGTCGCGGGACCACTCTGCGAGCTTCGACAGGTGAACACACTGGCGATGGAGATGGGAGCTCGTTTCGTTTGCTTGGCAACGCCCCCGAGGTGCGGGCTATGTTTCGGTGCTTTAAGCCCCGGCGCTGCCACCACGGGTATTCCATTCACCGCTTCGCCATTTTCTCAGGGAGATTGTTTGAAAATGGACGAGAGTCTCTCGGGTAATCAATCGTGTTCGCATTGTTAAGAGGAGTAGTACTTTATGGAAGGGGTGGACTGATTTGTCAATTAGGGTAAAGAATTGTAAGAGTGTACGTGCATAGTGAATTGGTGGTTAGAATGAGGCTGGCTATGGTCTTGTTGCGATTGTAAATTTAGGGGCAAGTGTGTGTTAGGCAGATGAACGAGCTTGCTGATTTTGGATTGTAATGCTACGAATTGTAGCCAATTTCGAAAGCAAGAGGAATTTGTCCGGGTTTTTCTATTGGAATGTATAGCACTCTGATATTGGATTAATTGGTGTAGTCATGGATTGTGATTTGGATGAATTCGTGACTGAGATAGGGTTGGTTTCTTCGTGAGGCATTGCTGAGGGGAATTTCGAATTTTATTTTGTTTTATTTTATTAATTTTTTTCAAAACAGGCAAGAAGATAGCTTCTAGTTATAGATCGTCGAAGGTGCGTCCATTCTTAGGTACGAGCCTCTGGAAGCTTCTGCCGCAGGTATTCTTCAGCTCGTTATTGACTTCTGAATTTGTTATGGGTATACACTTAATAACCAATTCTGACCTTGCCTTCTGGATGCGATTTTCTCCTGATTTTTGGTGTAATGTCAACATCCTGGGCAGTGCCTTAATTTCGTAGGTGCGTAGGGAGGCTTTTATAGTACACTATGATATACTCGTATTGATATTGTAGTCGTTTGGATTCAGGATTCTTTCGTATCACGGCGTCCACCACTCATAAATGCAGCAAAACAATCTGGGAATCAAGGAAAGAATTCGAAAACACCACCTTCCGCAGGTTGGACCAGGTGCAAAAGGAGATAAAATCTTCTATACTTTTTTATTTCATCTCTCAGAATATTTTCCCTCAATCCCAGAGTTGTATTCAGAGGTATCATATCTTCACCATATAAGTTCGCAACAAGTTGGACGAAACTGTTGAGGTTGAAGGTGAGGTTCATTAGATGAAGGATAACATAAGAATTTACAGAATTTTGTTGCAAATTCAAAGTTACATTTGTTTCTCCTCTTCCATACTTGCATTTCTCTTGCATTTTTTCTAATTGTATATCTGATTGATTTGACTGATGTAGATAAACTGGATGACGAAAAACTCACAGAATCATCACGTCTGGAAGGACAAGCTGTTGAGGAAAAAGTTAACAAAAAAAATTCTGACATCAAAACAGCTCCAGCTGCCAGAGAGGAAGTCTTAAAAGCATGCGTGAACACATCAGCCGCTTTAGCTATAGCCGGAATTGCCATTCGGCAGGTATTCTTTCCATCTCTCAGTTTTTAATATGGATAGATATAATTTGTTATTTTCAGTAATTGTTAAGTGATCAAGTAGCTCTTTTTTCAAGAAGAGATAGCTTAAGTTAACATGGAAAAGTTTTCATGGTGAAAATTTTAGAACGATGTCAACTCATGCGCAGGGTACACACTGGGCAGCAGAAGCGAATTGGTCTGTTCCAGACTGTTATTTAGGAATGACGTGTAAGTGGGAGCCTCTATCTTGTCAATTTCTGTAATCCTAGCGAGTAGGAGTTCAGCTTAGATGTCAGTATCAAGGTATATTATTGGATTATATAAAACTTGTATTGCCTATGGGGACGGTGTATGTACATAGGGTAATATTGTTGGTTACAAGCTGCTAGATTGATGCAATTCATGCTCAATCCCGATTCTTTCCAAGCAGCTTTGGTGCAAGGATAGTATGGGTTTACGGTTGTGACAACTTGGACCTTACGGACGTGGGGAAGTCAGTAGACATCGTCCATTTTTTTGTGTGTGATATCCTCATAGAATTCCCACTTGTAATTTTTTCCTCTACTTTTTTCAATGTATCATTTTTTCATGTTTGGAACGAAGTACTTGTTTATTCCTCAAATTTGTTGATTGATTGACGACGACTTGTTCGTTACAATCATTATCAGCATGAATGTAATATACAGAAGATTCATTATTTGTTTATACGAGGAGTAAATCACAAGTCTCTGAATTCAGTTGATGTGTATTGGTATATTCCAGATAACTTTCAGGCTTGGCACTTGGGAGTAACTCTTGGAACGGTGACGCTCATAGCGTCTTTGCGACAAATTCTTCTCTCAACTTGGCCTGAATTCTCTCAGTCAAGTCGACAATCTAATAAGCAGGTCTTAACTTGTTTTCTCGGTTTCAGCTTCTCAAATTTTTGGAAGTGCAGATTCGGTGTCATCTTAGGAGGTCCTGCACCTTGTAATCGTTATTGAATTCGGGTTTCCCTATAAAGTTATTGTAAGCTTATCTACATGCTGGCGGTAGTTGTAGTTACATGTGCTCACCGAGAACAGTTTGTTGTGTATTTTGCAGGTCCTGAGCTCTTTGGAGTTAAATGATTATCTCTTGGTGTCATTCTTGCCTGGCATTTCCGAGGTACAATTTGCATATTAACTCAATATTTTCTTACCCGCTTCAGTCTTCTTTGGGGTCTATGTTTTGTTATGTTGGTTGTTCTAGCGGCAGTTGGTTTTCTGGTACCCAGAATATTTGCCCAGTAAATCGACGTTTGGCAATATATGAAGGGATCTTGAAGTGTGAAAGGTCTACTTATGATTATATTTTCTGGTTTCCTTTAGGAACTATTGTTTCGAGGCGCTATCTTGCCACTAATCGGTGTGGATTGGCGTGGAGTTGTTTTTTCTGGTCTTGTATTTGGAATCCTTCATATATCAGGTGGACGCAACGCTGCTTTCGCTGCTTGGTAAAATCTCGAGCCCAGTGTCAAAACTGTCAGTCTCATGAGATGTGCTGTTTTTCTGGTTTCAGGCGCATCAGTGCCTTGAGCAGTCCTCATGAGGGTCAAGTTGTTGCGATTATGTGCCTTAATCGATTACCCTATGGGATTTTGCAGGGCTTCTTTTGTGGGATGTGTGTATGGATTGGCAGCTATAATCACGAATGATCTGGCGGTTCCAATGGTGGCTCACTCCGTTGCTAACTTAGTAGCTGCGTACGTTTGGCGAATCGAATCGAACAACGATACGAAGATATAAATCAATCTCTTTTACTGCTACATCTATCATCAGGAGATGGTTCCACGAGCACAAAATTTTGTGCATGCTCACATTGAAAATTTAACTGGTTAAACAAACCAGTTTTGTAATGCCTTGATTATACGGTTTATCTGTATCTTATTTTGTATATTAAAATTGCTCTTTATTCACATAACCGATGCAGGAGATTTTCAGCAACAGTCCATTTGTACGACAAATTTTCACGAAGTTGTGGAAGCTGTTAAAGATCACCTAACATATTGTGACCTACCAATATTAAAACCATGTGTTAAGCCATGTCAACCTCTCGTCATGCCTCGTGAAGTTATCGCTCTATTGAGCAGCTCCACATTTGTTTTTTATGATAATGACTAATCAGCCCAGTTTAGGGCTATCTCCTGCAAAACTGAGTGCTTCCTAAGGTAATCCGTGAAATGCCATGTGCGTGTAGTCTAAACTTGTTGACATCCAAAAAATTTACGTCGTCAGTGTTCCTCAGCTCCGCATGGTATGTAATGAATGCTATCCCAGTTCTGGAAACGAATGAATTTGCAATGTCAAAATACGCAATTTAAACCACTTTTCGCCACTCAAAAGTTTATGACATTTTTGAATTGACATAATTGTTTCGAACCTTCTGGACGTGGTGATAAGACTTTGGATCCATCTTTTTCTGCCCACCTGTGTCAGATGGCATGCACTTAATATCTAGTACAGCAACAGAGCTGAATTTCCTATTTAGGAGGGAGCCCATTTAATTCCAAGTGACTCGGTATGGAGAATCGGCCAAATTTTTGTTGGCAAGAAAATGGCAAATGAATTCCCGTCTTTGTATTGGGCCTTGACAGCGAGGAGGGCACAGGCGCCTGTTTAAAGCCTCCCAGCCTCACCGAATTCAAAAAGCTGAATGGCTCATGGTGGAATATTTCTTTAAGAAAAGAAAAACAGTCTCAATGAGAACGCGGTGCCAACTGTGTTGTAGCCTGGGCCCAAACCTCCTCATAGCTTTCAGCTTTGAAGCTCTGGATTCTGGCCATTTGCAAAGCTTCATCATCAGGATGGTTCTCTCACATGAGGGAGGAGGTGGAGGTGGTGGTGGAGTGGATATGGGGCTTCATTGAAAGTTTCGTACAATCCAGGTATGCACGATGGGTAATGATGTTTTGGAGATTAAGCCTGTGGGCTTACAAAACCATAATGTTGTCTGATTTTTCAGCATCTTGATGCGGAGTTTTGAGGAAATGGAGGTTGGAAAATGACAGGATAGGTAGCGAGTGTTCGATATTGCCGAGTTAGATTGCCGTAGTTTCCAGCAGTGGTCCTAATGCGAGTAATGGATACGAAGTTGTCTGACGAGTTTGAAGGCCTACTTTCCTTGCTATTTTGACCAGCGATCACTCTTTATTCAAGTAGGTTAAGCAGTTTGTCGTTGTGGTTGTGTGGGATAGAGCGGAGAAGGTTTGTGATCCCATAGGGCAAAGGCCAGCAGCTGTGGCGAATGAAATGATTGGTCAGTCGATTGAGGGGCGGAGACTGAAAGGTTGATTGGAAGTTGGTATAGTTTGGGGGCTTGTGTAGTTGAGAGATCTGCTTGAAGGAGAGAGACAAGATCGTTTAGGTCCCAGGTGATCGGCGAGGTAGGTGATCTAGTTGTTAATTACTGCGAGGACAATGTGGTAGGAAGATCTGACTGGGATATACAAACTTTCCGAGGGTCTGCCTCGATCCTTAGAACTCACTCCGGGGGTAATTTGTCCTGTATGTACCGCGCCTGGTTTTTATCTTTTCTTTTCTCCTTTCTTGCACCGAACATAGTTATTTTAGTGTTCAGTAATCAACTAATATCAGTCGTGGCACCAGGTGCGGAAATCTGTTCTGGAGCGGAAGATCTAAATATAGCTGTTTAAACTTTTAGCATATACTGAGGTCTCTGCATGCATGCTCATTAGCAGGCATTCTGTTAGAGCTTAGCAAGTTTACAGTAGTGTTTATAGTAGTGTGTGACTCTCACTACGCCCATACGTCAACATTCAATTGCAGAGTCGCAGCTCACACTTCAAGACACCGTGTAATATTTGGTCGCGCATGTCCTTACGGAATTACTTTCTCATGCATGGTCTGTTTCTGTGTTTGTAGGGAGATTAGATGGGAGATACACAAGAAGCCTACACGGAAAATGAGGCTGCCTCGGAGGCGAGGATTTTTGTTTCCTTGACGCATGATTTAAAGCACAAGGATGCTGTATCCTTGCTTCGAGTGGCGGTTGATGATGATGGAAGTGACACAGCAGATAGCCCTTCTGATCATGAGACAAGAACACCGCTGCGGGTGGTGGTTGACGACGACGACGACTTCGACAACTACAACGGGGAGGATATTTCGGATCAGGAGCGAGCGAATTCGGAAGAGGAGCATAAAGGAGATTACCAGCATGAGGAGGTAGAGGGCAAGGACTGTGGAGAAAATCCTATGGAAGAGCCAGTGGTTGAAGAGCCCGCTACGCTGTCTGGATCACGCGTTGTCGCCCATGTTACAGATAGCATGGCGGATTCTGATGCAGGGGAACAGTTAGCTTTTCCCGAAGAGCGCTATGACGAGGAGAGCGATGAGGAGTATGAGGTAAGTAATGAAGATGACCTCAAGAAGTACGAAGAGAACAATGGCGGAATCTGTGAAGAGGTCTATCGCGTAACCAACGCAGAGATCCATGAAGATTTAGATGATGATCGACAAGTGGATTCATATAAGTCAAACGCGGAGAATCAAGCAACGTTTCATGTGCTGGGTGATGGAGAATCTCATCAAGAGACCTATGAAGATCAACAGCGTAAGAGTAATATGGGTCAGCAGGAAGATAATCTAGAGATAAATCAACACCTCGAAGTGGATGAGCCTCAAAACCCCTTCAATCTTGCCAAGGAAGAACTTGAAGGTGAGAAGACCGAAGACGAAAAAGAGGTAATCAGTATGTATGGGGTATCACAGATGGAAGGGAATGGTGAGCAGCCAGCTTACCATGATGAGGCTCACGTGTCAGGGGAGGTGCGGCACGCAGCACATTCGAATGGTAAAATTGCCAAGAAGAAAGGACATGCTAAACCAATCAACCCGGCACGAGGAATTGTAACCGGAAAGAAGGCTCCTTCAGTTGCGGAACTGGGTAAACCAGCTAAACCATCAACTACCTCTGTTCAACCTGCATTGGATGGATCTTTGAAAACAAAACTTGCTGCGATGGAGGAGGGAGAGACCTCGGATAGTGTTCCCAAATCATCTGTCAGGGGCTCGCGTGCTAAGCTGACAATTCCACAGCCTTTCCGTCTGGCAACGGAGAAGAGAGCGTCCTTGGGAGTACGTCCTGCGGATGCAGAGACGACCAGGCCGCGTGCCACCAGTAACGTGGTCAAGAAGTCCCATCCAGTGCCTACTACAAAGACCGCCGGGGCAACTGGCAGAATCATGGCTTTTCCTACGGAGATCTCGAAAGAGGATCAAGAGGCGCTAGATACGTCGGAAAAAGACAAGGAGGCGAAATTTGAAGAGGAACTCACTGTTCTCAGGATAAAGTCCGGCAATCCATCCGGGTTTAGCTTCAAGAGTGACGAGCGGGCAGAGAAGCGACGAGAGTTTTACTCTAAATTGGAAGAGAAGATGAAAGCTAAGGAAGAAGAGATGAGCCAGTCTCAGGCCAAGAGCCAGGAAGAGCTGGAGAATAAGATGAAGCAACTACGGAAGAGTCTTACTTTCAAGGCTACACCCCTTCCAAGCTTTTATCAAGAGTCAGGACCACCGAAAGTTGAAGTGAAGAAAATCCCCCCAACTCGGCCGAAATCTCCTAAGCTCACAACTGCAAGAAGAGGCAGCCCGAGGGGAGAGCACGATGGCTCAAAATCTCCAGTGGCCAGGCTTAAGAGCGACCTAAAAAATAGCTCTTTAGTTCTACATCAGAATTCTATTGATTTAGCAGACGAGAAGAAGGCATCTAGAGTGAAAAAACCAGCGGCTAAAGCTTCGTCCATGGACAAGAATACAATTTGCTTCAAGTCCAATGGTGATGTCAAGAATGAAAAAAAAGCTAAAGCAGCGAATGTTCTGCTCTCTTCTAAGAAAACACCTACACCAAAGAGTACAGAACTTCGTGCGAACAGAGTCGAGAGGCAGGAGCAGATAGTTGACAAAGGAAGGAGCATAAGTTCTAGACGTCTACGGACTAGGTTACCTTCTACCGATCGTGCTACGAGTACTGCAGAAGATAAAATCAAAAGCCCCAAACCGTCTGGCGGAGTGGAGAAGGCAGCTTCAAAGGGCGGGGCTAGGAAACCAACGCAAGGACGATCAAAACCCAACGACTCGACGACGCCTGTTTCCACACCCAAGCGCAGAAGAGGAGAAACTGAGGATGTTGAGCTTGCAACTACTCTATCAAGCAAAGACGAGCTGCTTCCAGTTTTGCCAGATGTGGCAGTTGCATAGGGGAAGCTTATATATTGGTGTGAAGCTCATGTTGAAGTTGTGATGTATACTTAGAGAGGTAGAAAGGTTGTTTAACTCATTTTTGGTAAGTTTGAACAATATGGCTCAAACAACAGTTGATTGAGTGGTGTTTTTGGTAACATCGACGAAATTAATTTCTTTGTCTGTGCCAGCGATTGCTCCTGTATAGATTTAATTTACGTAGGCATGCCAGGTGTGATTGTGTAAATGGGTATTAAAGCCATGTGATACGTATTACTATTGAAAGATATGTGTTGCTTGTGACATGCACTCTAAGTTGACGAGCAGATTTGAGTTGAGATATCATCACAAGTTGGTGTAACATGAAATGGCAATATTAACGATGGTGCAGTTGTTGTAAACGTGGTGAATGTAATACGAATGAATCTGTGATTTTGATTATGTTGAGTCCTGGTATCTATTCTCTGAAGTACCTCAAGAGTTCCATGTGCTGTAAAGTTTTAGTCGGTAGCGGGTAATGGACCCTATACCGTCGGTCTGACAGTTATTGCCGCATGAAACTGATAACGTTTCAGAACCGGCATGATCTCAAGGGCTATGTTTGATTTCAACATTTGGGTCTCCATTTCTGGTTTTGGTTATTTTTAATTTTTTTATTTATAAAAATAAAATATATGTTGTGACTATTTTTACATGTGTAACAAGTATATTCTTAATTGCATAATATAAATTTGTGTGCATTAATTCCTATCACCAAGGTTTATACCTTGTTTCAAAATTTGCATCAATTTGATTTTATTTGAGGTGTAGAGTTGCTTTTAAAATGGTTTTGTTATTGTTGTCTTCTTTCATTTTAATTTTATCAATAAAAGACATTCTTAAAGTAAAGAATCCTTCTAAATTCTTTATTTTTATTTTTGTTAATTGTAGAAATGCTTGAATTTTGCTCTCTCCTACAAGGTTTAGAAAATAGACTTTAACTCCTAACAAATATTTTTGTACTTCCAAACAAACTATTCTTGAGTGACTACTCTATATTTTCCAAATGAAGGGTAGTTAGTTTTCATGTAGATGTTGATTTTTTTTGGTATAGATACTTATGTTTGTACAATGTGGTTGTAAAGTGGTAGATGAATTTGTGAGAATGAACTTTTGGAAGCTATCTGAAAAATCTGGTCTAGTTGGTGGCTAAAATTCTAGAATCAATAGTAATACAAGTTTTCTTATTGATAATTTTGCAAACTTCATGAGCATCCAAAGCTTTTTTAGAGGTAGGATGTGTGTTACACTTAAAACACTAAGTTAAACAAGAGGGTTTGTAGATACGTTACTCATTTCAAGTATGTGTATATTGATGCTCACTTATACTAAGGTTTTCAAAATGTTTTGAAGATATTCACTAATGTATTATCATATATATTGCAGGATAGGAACTATGTGGAGGGACATATATTTGTGCCATCAAGCTTAGCTTAAAGCAATTAAAGCTATGAATAAGCTCAATAATTCTAATACCTAAAAACCAACTAGAAGCTTTTATTGCTAGTTATAACACAATTCCAATTGACACTTAATATGTAGACCTTGTTTGTTATTGTATAATAATTTTGGTATTTGTTGCATGTAAAATATGGCTTTATTTTTTATTTGAATCCTATGTAGCAACAAGTAGAATGAAAAGAAATATTACATATTATTGTATGGATAGCACTTGATGGCATTGTTGATTTTGGATTGAGAAAGTTCATTGTATGTGGTTTGAGCGAATTTTTTGAATCACAAAGAAAGTACATGAAGAATTAATTTCTTGACTCCATGCAAGTGTTATAAATTTTGGAATTGAAGAGCACAAGAATGAATCAAGATTGCTAAAAAGGTCTTTTTTATGTAATATAGAGGTAAGTAATGCTTATAGGCTCTACCATGGATAACAAGATATATTAAATTAGTAAGCTAATTAAATAGTATTATAAAGTATATGACTATATATAGTATTGATGTAGAAGATGATAAAATTGTAGTAAGAGGATCCGAGGAATAAAAGATGAATTGAGACTTATAACATAGAATTAAGAAAAATATAAGATGCCATAATAAATCCAAGGTATATGTTAGATTCAAGCTCTATACCATCTCTAATGTAACTAATATCTTTTACCATATTTCACAAAGATAGTCTGGTTAATGATATTTTTAATAATCAAATGAGTAAGTTTTTTAATTGCCAATTTGATATTGTACTTGAAGAGTGTCTTTTAGATTAGATTATTAATATTGAGAAGCAAATCAAAATAAAATCTACTAAAAAAACTTGACAATAAGCAATTATACAATGCTTAGAATTTAGAACTTATTCTAATGTTGTAGAAAAAAAGATTGCTTTGAAAAAATAAGAAGCCTCTCATTGCTACTAATTATCCTATTTTCTTATAAAAGCTTTCAAAATATATAAAACACTCAATAAAACACAAATCATTTATAAATTCTCTTCCTCTTCATATTATTAATAAACTCTTTTATTAAATATTTGTTAAATAAATATGTGAGAGTCCAAAACCTTCTTTGAAAGTCCTTATATTTCTTTCCAAAGAAGTCTACTATCTTTTCAAAACCTTAAATTATACCCTATTTCTAAATCTTAAACTTTAAATCCTACTTCTCAATTCTAAATCTTAAATTTTATTTTATTTAAAGTTTGTTTATTTAAAAAAATAAAAAAATTTGGATTGAAGATTTCAGAAAATTGTTATCATTACACTTTAGCCACTACCAACTTGTGGCTTTTTCTTTTTTAGGAGAAGTTATATATTAATCTATTAGGAAGATGAATATATAAAAGATGTGGATATTATATATTATACTACTATTAAAAGAGATTTCTTACTTCTATATATAGACAATAAGTACTTTTGTCATTCAACATAATCTTCTAATACAAGCATTGTAAGGCCAAACTTCAAAATATCCTTAATAAATAAATTAATGATTTTGAAAAGAATATTTATTCCACCTCTCTCATATGCCACCATAAGAATTTGAACTTAAGATTTTTTAGGTGTCATCCAAGTACCTTATCATTCATCCCTCTCCACAAGTTCCAAGTTGCTATTTGATGTCCAAAGCCTCAATTCTTCTCTCTTTAAGCAATATCCATTTTTTTTAAAATTTTAATTTTTTATGAATTATAATTTTTTAATAATTTCTTATACCTATTTATAGCTATATCAAAAAATATTCATTAAATTTTATATTAAATAGATATTTTAATAATAAATTATTCTAAATCTTTATTCTTTTTTACAAACTTAATTTTTTTAACAACTATGATACTTTTTATTAATAAGATTATACATCTATATTTATTTTTATCTTTTATTTTATTTTTATATTCTAAATATATTATCAAAAAATTATTTTAATTTATAATTTATTTAATTAATTATTTTTAGTATCTAATGATTTTTTAAATATATTTTTGATAAAAAAATATAAACTAAAAACTATTATATTTTATAGTTTTTATTTAGTTTTATATATATTGTATACAAATATGATACAACATCTATCTCCTCTAATCTTGCACATCCTTCGACATGTATCATTAATCCTCTTTGCTTTTTTCTTATTTTGTCAATATTACTTCGAATTTTTTATCTTTTTGATTTTTTTCCTCTTGTTGTTGTAAAGAACCAATATGATCATCTGTATTAAACCTTGTATCTCTTTGCTTAAAAACCTTCACTCTCTTTTCTACTATTAGATTTTTGATAAAGGTTATATCTAATTTTATCTTTCTAATGCTTCTATATTAGCTAAAGATATTATTCAATATAAATCAACATACTTCTTTTGTAGACTTGGTCTTTAAAGTTCTTTCTTTAATAAAATTTGATAGTTTATTTTTTGCTAAAATCAAATTTTTTATGCCTCAAAGTTCAAATGGCATAACTACTATATAAATCATCCATTGAAAATATATAAAAGTCAGATAAATAGGTCAAAGTTTATCCTTATATTTAATCTTAGATTATATTTGATAATTTGTACAAGAATCCACAAAGTCTTCAACATCTTTGAATAATCTTTTTTATTAATATTTTTTTTTGATTTTGGTATAATTAATCCAAACTCTTCTATTCCTAATCCAAAATGTATCATAAAACTCTTCTAGAACCTTGTTTTTAGTCATGAAGTATTCTACCACTTATATTGGAAATTTATCACCTCTCTTTAGTTTCTTCCACAAAAATCCATCTTTGGCAAGATAGTCATAGGATTGATGTTAAATATTCTTAAATTTTTTATCCATCCAACCTTCTTACTTCTTTATTGTGCTCAAATAAATTCCAATATCCTTAAGCCTCTTTTCATATAGATCTTCCTAAAAGAATTAAATCTTATCTTTAGGACTTACTTCTTTAATAGAAAATGAATATCTATAGGTCTTTTTATCTTCATCTTTTCTATCTTTATGAGCCATCATCTCTTCTTAACCAATATATTTAACTCTAGATAATATACATGCCATTAAATTATCTTTGTCAATGATGTACTTTAAAAATAGATTTAATATTTGGATGTAAACTATATATGAAGGTAAATTTCATCCTTCAATTTAAATTACAAGATGGCTTCAATTAAGAATTATTTGTAATTTTTAGTATGAAATAATGGAAGCCAATAGCAAAAAAAAAGAAAAAAAAACTATAAAATAAATGTAACAAATGAAATCAAGCAATTCAAAACTTGGTCACAATTTTTTCATTGAATTTTTATTTAATAAAAAATAAAAAATAAAAAATCTATTTTTAAAAAGATATTTTTTTAATCTTTTCAATGATATAAGAAACATTTAAATTTGAATTATTATGAGTTCTTTATGAAAGTTTAAAAATAATAAGTAAATGAATAAAAAATTAAATAAAAATATTTTGCTTTAAAGATAACTTGTTGATAGATTAAGGATTCAAGCTTCACCAAGGCTTACATGTAGTATATATAGGTGTCTAAGAGAGGTCATGAGGCCTTAATCTTATCCTCTTAATTACCTTCATGGTGCTACAATCCATATAGAACTTGTGCACTTCTTTTCTTATAAGGACTACACTAGCTATTGATCCTCCTATTTTCTACTAGTAAATCCAATATTTTTTTTTTGAAAATCCATTACTAAAACCACATTAGCTTTAATAAAATAATTCTTCTTAGTCTTTAAAACCATAAGTATTATCCAAAATTTACACTTAATTTTTGGATATATCCATTATCTATTTGTAAAACTTTTGTTTCCAAATATTATTACAAATCGCTTTTCTTTTTAATCAAC